ACGCGTCCTACGAAATTCTTACAAGACAGCACTAGTCCATGAATTTGTGAACAAGATCGGAGATCTAAAGATGTCTCTACCGTGCATCAGTGGCGGCCTGCTGGATCTCAACAGAGATTCTTTAATAATATATAAATTTTAAAAGGCAAATGGGAAAAACCCATAAAACAGCAAACGGCCACAAAATGCAAAACTATTTAAAATTAAAACGGAACAGTAGAGAAAATCCGATCAGAATGACAAAATAAACTAAGAGGAGAGACAACCCACACTTGCAAGCACCACAAAACGGCTCATTCTTCGCTACCAACTAGACTCGTGCAGACGCATTTATTAGCCGCAAAGCTTACCATTCCAGGCCGTGATTGGTTGATAAACACAATGTATACAGCCGATTTGCAACCTGATCAATTAAGAACACGCTTTCATAGGAAACCCACCGTAGTGTTAAGAGATATGATATAAAAACATACTTCTTCACATATTTCCCAATAATATTTTTCGCAAAAACTCTTCATACTTTAAATTCCCCAGGCCTTATCTTCCATATTATTGCAAGATCAGCCTAATCGCATCACAAACGAAGGAAGAGATAGAAAAACAAATGACTTCAAAATTCAGCCGATTTGCAATCTGATCAATGACGAACACGCTTTCATAGGAAACCCACCGTAGTGTTAAGAGATATGATATAAAAACATACTTTTTCACATATTTCCCGACAATATTTTCGCAAAAACTCTTCATACTTTAAATTCCCCAAGCCTTATCTTCCATATTATTGTAAGATCAGCCTAATCGCGTCACAAACGAAGGAAGAGATAGAAAAACAAATGATTCACTCAGAATCATTATATAAGCCCTCTCTCTCAGAGAGTGGGCTAAAAAAAAGCAACTCTGTTTGGTAGAGCACAAACAGATCTATAAATGTACCTTTTCAGAGCAGCCTCTTGTTTATTCAACCATTTTTTATTTGGTTCATGCTGCTGGACATTCTCATCTGTTTTGTCTCTATTGCATTTCCAAGTTGGTCTGAAATATAAACATAATTAATTTCATAGTTCAGTCAGTCAAATGACTATATTATAACACATTCAATTTTCTGTGGTGGTGATGTTTCTTTGTTAAAAGGATTGATACCTAACACCTGTAATAAACAATATAACACATTCAATGTCTTTTGGGAATGCACGTGGCATGCTGATGACATCTAACCTGCACTCTGTTGATGCATGGAGGTATTATACTGAACTGGAGAAACAACACAAATTCAGTCCTTTGACGATCGTATAGTGGCTATACATTTTGTATAAACATGCAGTGCGAGCGACGCTCCGTTTCCTCGGAGTGTTTGTGCTGTACAGCACATAATATTTGATGTTGAATAATATTGGTTGGAATGCTAGACCAAGGCCCCTGCATGTCTACGGCCTGTTTAGGTACACGCCAGTATCTTTGATCCGCAATATTCTCCATACCATTGTAATTGTAATTCAAATTCAATTCAAATCTGGTTTATTCAAAAATATAATGGCATTGCTGAATAAACTGAACTGCACTAAATTTACATTTAATTGACAACATTTATATATATAAAAATAAAAAATAATCTTGCAAGCTCGTTTCTGAACTGATTCGATCTCTTTGATTTAGTCTGAATTTAAAGATTAATGCCAAACCGGAGACGCATATTCAAGTATTGAGCGAACAAAAAGAATATAGACATTCACAAATTTAGGAATTGGAAGTCCAAATTTAGTAAGGCGACTGAGCATAAATAATGCACGGGAGGCTTTAGTGGTCATTGCTTTAACATGGGCTAACCATTTAAGTTCACCTTGTAAAATAACCCCAAGTAATTTGATTTCATTAACAGTATCTAATACGTTATCATCAATAAGAACCGTACGCACGATTGGTGATCTCGTACACATGACTTTTTGCGAACTCGTACCAAATGCATTTTTGAAAGAGTTAATTTTTCTTAGTTTTTCGATCAGATGAGATCAAACTAGCTGCATCAATAGGGCGTCAAAGAACAAACTGCCAGTGGGATAGGTTTGGACGGCAGAAACGTGCATTCTTAAGTAAAAATGCAGATTCTTATTAGATTTTTAGTTGTAACAACCCTAGTAAAGCAGCAAATAATCCATTTTCGGGTATCTAGAGAAAACATTGTGGGGTTGGGGAGGGCATTCTCCTGATACCCCCTACAGTATGGGATTTTTAGAAGTCTCATGCTTGCAAATTTTGTCTAACTTGGCATGCATTAGTGAGTACTGTAACATTAATTTATTAATTATTTGTATTACTTCGTGTTATTTTCTTGTTTACAGAAAACAACTCAAATTTTACTTAGCCAACTAGGTTCGAGACACGTTTCTTTTTATTGTTTGTTGTGATATATTTTGACTGCAAGTTTTTTTTATTAAATTAAGATTAAATTAAATGGAGATTAAAATAAAGCAGTCAATATATTAGTTTGTCATCGTTCGTTTTGTTCTTATTCCTATTTATCATAAATGTTCTGACCATGTTTATAATATTACATAAAAATAAATGAAACTAGAGATACTATGTTCAATAGAACATAAACCCAGTCATTTTTAGGAGTTTACCCCAAGGTGACCCCTGTTATCTTTGACCTCAAGCTGTGGACACCCCATGTTTGGTAGGAGTCTCTCTAATGCAGAGATCCCAAGTTTGAAAACCAAAAAATAGGGAGATTTTTTTCGTGAAGCGATCGCCTCCTGTAGCGATGCGCTGCGACGCCTTACGACGCGCTTTGTAACATGAAAGTATTACACAAAATGAAGAAAACAAACAATTTTCATCAATTTGTTTACTTTTATTTAAGTTACAATTTTACATTTGTTTACACATTGCAGTTGTCCTAAAATATAAATTTATAAATATTATTATTTATTTAGAATTTTGCTAGTAAAGCATTCTTGACAGCAGTCGACAAGGCTTTGCTTGGTTCATTGGCATATTAGAGGCTATGGCTGATTTACTACATCTCTTCAAAGAACATAGAATTCTAGCAAGGTAACTGCAACTTGCAAGATCCACACGTTTGCTGAAAAATAAAAAAAATATATATATATTTTTATTTAGTTAGTAAATCATACCAGGGAACATTTTCATTTCAAAATTTTGATTAGCAATGTTTGCTAATCAAATTGAAAATTGAGTAGCAATATCACATTTTTTCCTCAAAAATTATCATCAAACTATTATGATTTTACAACATTGAAGATCCATGCAGGCTTCCAAAAAGAAGAAAAAAAAAGAAAAGCCCATGATGAAGAAGTCCCACTACTTTAGATGATGAAGATGAACACAACATTGCAATTTATATTAGTTAAGATTTTTTTAGAGAGTAAATTTACATTTTAAATTCAATATTCTTTGTTTTGTATGTATACAATATTAATTATTGAAGTATCAATAAATGCTCTTTATTTGGAATAATCTATGTGAACATAGAGAAAGAACTTCCTTCTCTATGATGTGAACAATAAAATTAATAAAGTGCATAGTGATGTTACAAAAATACAAGCGTTATTTTTTACCACCACGAATAATGGGGATGAGTTGACTGGGCCACGGACGTCTGGGGATGAGTTAACATTGATAACAATGATAGGACAATAATGTTATCAACAGAAGAAAATTGTCCTGATTATATTGTAAAGGAAAATTAAGGTTGAGTTGATCAAGTCAAAAGTTCATATTAGGCCTACTGTACTTGGCCGTGGTCAACCGACACCGAGGAATGTAACTTGATTCACTAGGCCTATTTTTTTTGTGGCAGACTTGCTTGACAATGACAGAATCAATCATTAATCGGCACAACATTACAGCAAATTACAGCTCTCTTGAAACCAACAGTACGTACTTACCTGATTGAAAACCATTAATGCTAAAAAGAATCTTGCATGCTGGTTCTATTTGATAAATTAAGTACAGTATTTATAAACGAGAGCCAGGCCTAGCACTACCCTATCTAATCGTCATCTTGTTTATAATGCTGACAGGTTTCCAGTTGATAAGCTTCACTGCGCACCATTTCAAAATGTCGACACACCATATACCACGAGGTTGGTTTGAGCGTGAATCAAATGCGGCGGCGGGCGGAAGGCCGTTCAAAGAGAAGAGCCTGTCGGAGTGTTCTTTGATTTTCTTCCGACAGCACTGATGAGCGTGGAAAAAAAAACTGATAATTTTCACAGCAAGTTGTAACCTAGCAACAAAGTTTTCTAGTCTGAGCGTAGAGCAAATTGCTCTGATTGAGGAATACCAGGGATAAGTGAGATGTAATTTCACTTATCCCTGTGAATACAGAACGATTGTTTAGTATTAATAGTAGACACGGTTGTGAGTTATTGTGTTATTGAAACTCCCATACCGCGATGTATAGGCGTTAAAATAAAATTTTGTTTTTAGAGAATTTTGATTTGTATTTCATTGATATTTGTTTTCGATTTTGTATTTTTGTTTTCTTTTAAATGTTTTATAACTGTAAATGTTGCTTGTATTATTGTTATGGATGCACCACCCTCGTGGCTGAGTGCCACTGATGTAAAAGTGTAATTTCCTAATAAATTATTATAATGGTTAAGACGAGGTTATGTTACTTGACATTGGTAACAGACATGCGCAGTTGAAACCGTGAAGAGGCTTATTAGCAGAACGCATATCGGCGATTTTGTGACATGTGTTCGCACGTAAAACGAGGTCATTGCCTTTAAGCTCGAGCTCGAGTGAGTGTTATCAGAATGATACGTTGAAGCATGGTTGAAGTGATTGAAAAACAATACAAACACAATGAGAAATATTTTATTGAAAACGAATGACAACCAAAACATGTAAGTTATAAAACATTCGGAGGCCTATGTCTGGCTAGGCCTACGGCCTAGTGTGAAAAAGAACATGCAGGGATGAGGCTTTTCTTGGTTCGCAATGTTGTGCGATGCGGTTTTGTAATTGCGTAGCAATTTTTAATTATTGTGTACCTATTTGCGATGCGATACTGGCGAAAATGTTCCCTGCATACTACATGTTTTAAGTCAGCATTTATATATGTCTAGCCTATAATATTGGTACATAATGCCATGAAAAAACATTAAATCCTGCCTCCCTGGGCTCCATCTGTACGTGTGTAACTAGGCCTAAGGCCGCAGAGTCACGACCACCACTACACACAGACGCCCACTCAACACAACACACATACCCCCTGCAGTGCAGATGGAGCCTAGGCCTACATGTATTTCGGGATTGATATTAAAATAAACTTCATTTTTCGGAAGACTACTTAGTACCAAAACCTACTATGATTTTTTTAGTATTGTTATTAAAGAAACGAAGCTTACTTAAAAGAAAAAGTATTTTTTATGCACCGATTCTACAAAGTTCCAAATCTTCGCGGCGAAAAACTTGGGGCATTGATTCCATCACATGTGATTTCTAATTTCGTTAATTTGTTGAAATTTATTTAGTCAACTGACAGCCATTTCATTGATTGAGGTCAGCGCGGATGAAAAAGATCGTAACATGGAGGATAAACAAGGCAATTCTACCACGGATCGAGGCCTGCCTTGCCATGGAGTTGTTATTTTGATAAACAACATAAATAACAACTCCCTGGTCTTGTTTAGGACATTTTAAGACTGAGCGAGCGCCATATTATATTGGCTTAAGATAAGAAATTTTGTTTCATTGCTCTATGTCATAGATTATGACATCGTGGAAATCACATTTTTCGTGAAATTTTCGGGATATTTAAAAAAATTGGGAGATTATTAATAAAAATCGGGAGGGCGGGAGACGGCCTCAAAAATTGGGAGAACTTGGGATCTCTGCTAATGCAATTGGTCAAAGCAATATTTGATAACTTTCACCCTGACCTTGTGACTTTTGACCTCAATTGACATTGAGATCATTTTAAGACATCTTTACAATGTCCTAAGTATCACCCATAATAAATTCAAGCAATACAAAAAAATGTGACCTTTGACCTATGAACTCTG